GCCAATGTGATATTTCAGTTTTTCCTTTTTAATAATTTACAGACATTTCTAAAATTCTGTTTTCACTTTGTCATTATGGGGTACTGAGTATAGATTGAGGAAAAAATGAATTTGAATAATTGTACTATCAGGCTGCAACATAACAAAATTGAAAAAAGTGAAGGGGGTCTGAATACTTTCCGAATGCACTGTATATCTAGTTCTTTTTTCCTTTTGATAACTAATGTCAGAGACAAAGTTGTAAAGCATAAAGGTTATTGGTTTAACTATGTAGAACCTATCCAATTATACAAAGTATAAAATACATGTAATAGATTTATTTTTGCAATATATATGCGGCTTAATTCCAAAATGGTTCTGAGCAGTTTAATGCAAAAATAAAAGGGATTTTAAAAAATAACTAAACCCCTAACCTAGCCATATGGCATATGCAAAGAGGGAAACAGAATACACATGTGATTTTATAAGCTAATTTATTTTGGGATTTTACTCCAGAATTAAATCAAAAGCCATTGTGGTGTAGTGGCTCAGGTGCTAGATTAGGAGTGGAGAGACTAGGTTCTAGTCCTCATTTAGGCATAGAAGCCAGCTGACTGACTTTGAGCCAGTTATTCCCTAATAGCCTTAATTCAGCATCAGGCTCTGCACCAAGCTGGCTGAAAAACAAAAACTCTTCCTGCATCATGCACTGATAGCTTCACTGTGAGAAGTAGTGCAGTACAAGTGGCCCTTGCAAATAAGCAAGACAAACACTACAGTAGAACAAAAACTCCAGAATTAAATCCAGGAGAGACTGATTTTTTTTTTCTTTTGTAACGAACATACATCAGCTTGTATTACTTATATACAACATGTACAAGTAGATACTACATATTCAGTCATGGATTTCAATGTTCTTTTGTATTTTAGAGTTTTTTCTTAGGCATTACATATACTCTGAAACCAACTCCTTACTTTCTCAATGAACTCAAAAACACCTTTCACCACAGAATGACAACCAACTAAAACAGAAGCTTGCGGTCATAATTTAATCAGAAAGAAAAATGTAGAAACAGATGAAATGAACAGTAATATTTGATGCAAATAAAAGTGGATTGTTCTCTATTTATTTATTTACAGTATTTCTACTTCCTATGTGCATTAGATCATACCAATGAAAATCATCTAATCAGGTCTTCGTTTTCTTCTTATGTTCCATTTTAAGTGTTTAGCTTCAGATACTTTATGATGAACGTTTTTTTAAAATAAAATCTGAAATCTAATTCTAGAGTTCTTTTTCTATGCTGCTTCAAAACAGGAACTGGGGAAATCTGTATTTTGACCAGTTCTTGAACTGTCTCAAAAAATGTACTGATTGTCGCACAATTAAAACATCTTGAAGATTAAAGTTAGTATGAACAAATGAAAATCAGTAATTGTAGCATAAAGTAAAATAGAATTTGGAAGGTGTATAATGAAGTCACAATGAGATTCTCCTCACAATATATGACATTTGCATACTTTTCATGAAAAGATTGTTTTTCATTTAAATATATGTAAAAATAAACAGATTTGAATATCTTGCATTTTTATATCCTCTGCTATGCTAGAAAATGACACAGTATCCCAGCTAGGCACAATATAGATGGCAGACTTCCATTCTCTTGATCGCAATGTTTAAACAGGGACTCTGTTCTCCTTGGCCCACTTCTTTATTATACGGACAATGTACTCTACCTGGGGGTTACCCGTACTTCTCAGGAGATGCAGTACCTCCCTTAGAGTATCCCTGAAAGCCAAAAATAAAGATTTTTAAAAGAGAAAGAATAGATCAGACAATATTGTCAAGTATGTTATATGAAAAGCTTTGAAATGTTTTGCTTCAGTCCTATGGCTAGAAACTTCTCTCTGACCTCACATGATGGATAAAAGAAAGCTGCATATAGGAATGAGAGAAAGTAAAGTGATGTATCAGATTTGATAGGAAATAGCCCAAAATTCAGCCCCATAAATTACTGTAGTACTTATTCAGTAGGAATAAGTGGCTATCCATGATGCTAACTTAGTTTCTCCTATCTTTACCCTATGTTGGCCTTAGATGTAAGATTTCTTCCCCTCAGTTCTGAGTTTTAAAATTGAGGAAAGTTGCTCCATAAGAATATTGTGATTAACATTGCAATAATAAAGTGGAATTTAATGAGGTAGTTACTTTTTGGTGAGCATCCTGCGGCACAGATTAAAGGATGAAAGGTACCCCCTTAGAGCAACTTCTCATGCTAGCTGACTTGGAGCCAGGTTGATATAGGGAATAACCCTACCTCCAGCCACTTTGGAGCATGACATAGGCAAATGGAGGAACTGCTGATTAGAAATTCTACCAGTTTGCATATTGGTTACAGTCGAGACTGGGAAGTTGAAAAAAATCCTGGAAGAAGGCAATAGCAAACCATTTCTAGCGTTGCAAAGGAAAAAACATGGGTGTATGAATGCAGTCATCAAGAGATAAATTTGCCTAGACAGAAACGTTTACTGATAAAGTTTGGGGCTGATCCAGGTCTACCATTTGGGGATGGTCCAGGATTCTTTGTTATTTGTAGACACCAATTTATTTGATATCTCACCTTTTGTACAGGAGCTCAAGGGAGCATACACAGTGCTTATTGTCACTAATAGTAGTTGGGCATATCTTTCAATAGGTTCAGGTAGTTTATCCACTATGATCTTATCTGACAATTATATAGTTGGTCCTCAATACAATTCATGAGATATTTGGCACAAAGTATGTCTAGAAATTTTGCAAAGGGAGCACCTTTGTTTTCTGAGAAAATTTGCTTCTGGTGATCAGAGAAACATTTAAGGTTCAAGAAAGTCTAATATCAGGCAGTATATACTGATTAACAGTGAGGACAGCCTAGGTTTGGTTTTGCTTCAGTGGTACCAACATTTTAAAAATGTATGTTAGTCCTGCTGATTATCTACTGATGCTTCTAGTTAAAAAATGTAAGAGTAGCTTGTACATGGGAGAAGACCTTCTCTATGACTATTCCCAGAAATTCTGTGACACGAGAAGCTTCTTTTACCTCTTCTGATGACTTTTACTGTTATGCAAACACCTTTTTTCAATCAAGGACTTGGTCTGTTGACCAGCCAACTTTAATTCCTCAAGCTTGTTCATTTTTATCTGTTATCTCATCTGTTCATGTTTATTGATTTTATCTCTGTAATGTCAATAATTTTGAACGCTGCATACAAATGTGTCAAATAAAAGCAACTTGATAAAAATGTATTTACCAATTTGTTTTCAGATAACATTTATATTTTTGCTGGCCCTATAACCTGTCTGTTGAGGTAATTTTTGGGACCTTCCCCCACAACTCTTCTCTCAACACTTTGGAGATGTTTTGAGGAAGGTATGAAGTTGCTGGATTATAAAGAAATTGATAAAACTGCCCCTTCTTCTCTTGGCTAACAAAGATATTAATAGGGAAATTAGTTTGGGCTGTTAAATTCAGCTTCCTTATTCTGAGCTATTAGATATATGAAAACTATCAGCAACTGAAAAACAAACTAGGAATACAGTAGCCTTCATGTCTTGTTTATGGCATTCCAGAAACATCTACCTAGTCACTATTAGGGATAGGGTGCTAATATATATGGACTTTATGTTTCATATCACACAGTCTAATACACATAGTAATTTTGTAGAATACAGACACCAGCCAATTGTTTGTAAAATTACGGTGCTTGTTTCTAGGCTTAAAATTCAGATATACCCATTAAATAGCATTAATTTCATCCTCCTTTCTGTATCATTAGGATTACTGAGCTTACAATCTTATCCACTTTTTTTTTTTAGTATAAGCAGCACTGAGCATAGTAGACCATTCCTGAAGAAAATAGGATTGCATCATGAAATAATATACAAAGCACTTTATAAACAGAACAATCCTGATTACTGAATTGTAAATGTCACAATAAGCAACAGGGACTACTTCCAAATAAGTAGTTTAGAGCAACAGAATACTTTTTAAAAAGCAAATAACTTATTAAATATCAATGTTATAGTTGCTGGACTCATCAGTCCCACCAACATTGTTAGCTATCAAGAATAATGGTAGTTACAATCCCATAGTATCTAGAAGAGTTTCAACCCTTCTGTAGGAACATATTCCACAGAGAAAGAAATATATTCCACAGAGAAAGGGAAGATATGATGTTGATGAATGGGCCCTAGTCACTTTCAGATTTGATTACCACTTTACAAAGGGCAACTCTTTAAATTGTAATTGCCATGTTATCACCTATGAGCCAGTAGATCAACTGATCTCCACTCAATTTTACATGTTGTCTAATGCCAAGCAAAATCAGGTGCTGTTTTTAAAGCACATCAGCTCCAGACTGTTCCATAAGAATCTGCTCTATTTCTGGTATTTTCTATAAAGCACTCCCATTTTACTATCAGAAGTTTAGCTAGTGAGCTTGAAATGTTGGTCTTTGCAGTTTTGGCACTACTACACGTTAATTCTTCGTTATTTTTTAGAAGAATGCTACAAACTGTGTTTCAGCAGATATTTTTAAGTTCTGTACATGTCCCTTTACATGGAACAGCAATAAAAAAATATACATATGAAATACATACAAAATATAATACAAAAATATTAATTATAAAATATGTAAAATAAATAGTGATTGTATGTAGCACATTTATGTACCTTTACAATAAAATGTGATAAGATACAGAATAATCTCTGTGAAGCCTCCTCTATTGTCTTCATTGATACTATATTCTAATCGAACTTGAGCATTTTAACAAACAAGTCAAACAAGTAATAATTTACTGTTATCAGTAACTCTTCCTTTTAAGAGTACTTTAATATAGGTAAGGCTTCCATTCATAATCCACACTTTACCAGAATCTAAACTTAAAGGCCTTCTTCTGACCCTTAAGTTTCTAATTGTGTCAGTGAGCATAATAAGTCAACAATAATATTAAGCAGCCTGGATATTATTCCAAAGTAGTAGAAAGAAATTCAATGTACATACTTAGGTTCTCTGCCAGCTACTATCATCTGGAAGATACCAACACAGGCACCTCTTTTGCCTTCCCAATATTCAGGGTTAGGATCCAGTCTTTCAAGGACATCAAAAGCTTTAGCAGAATAATAAAACTGGCCCATCTATGCAGGAGATAAATTTACATGCTTAAGGCAGCAATACTGCATAAAACAAAGTTTAAATATGTAGCAACTTAAAAAGAACATGACATTGAATTGTACCTGTTCATGATTTGAAGGCCAGATAAAATTTTCTGACTTTGTTTTCAAGTTAAAGAAACAAATACAATTCAATGTCATAAACACATTATGTATTTTTAGTGTGAGGGTTTTTAACATGCTTAAATCATGGGGGGGGGAGGGGGTATGCCCCTAACCATGATAGTTGCACAAACAATTTTAAAGATGGAGGATTTTTTTCAAAAACAACATTTTTAAAACCATCTTCAATTAAGTTACTTTTTATCTTTTATCTTGAAGCATTTAAAACTTTTCAATTCTAGCAAAGCTTCCTATTGAATAAGAGATGATTTCCAACAAACACAAGTATGTTTTTAAAATGTTATGGTCACAATTATATTTACTATTAAAACAGAAAGGCCAAAACTCAGGAACAGCATAAATGAATGAACTCTCTGGCTTAATATAAAGCAGATTTTCTTCTAAAATGGACATTAAAAATAAAGGAGCTGAGCATCTATGAGAAAAAACATAAACCTGTATTTTTGTGAATTATCTGCATCTATATATTAGAAAAATACCATAAGCATAGGGAAAATTTCACATCAGTTCCTTACTCAGTGAAAGGCAGAAATAACTGATCATCTTTCTTAAGATGTCTCAATATGATCATAGGAAAAGTAGTCAGCATGGTTTATTTCTTGGGACAGCTTCATGCATCATAAAAAAACAAACCAACAAACCACTTTATAGTCTATCATGAACTAGGCCTATATCATGTGGTTGTAAGAAGGTGGGATTTACGCTTGAGTAAATAGTCCATATTCTATATAACAAAACAACAGAAAAGGGTGGAACTCAATCTGTCAAAAAATTACAAGACTTGAGAAGGACGGTGTAAGAGTTCTAATTCTGTATAGAAACAGGGTTGATCTTAGATAGTGACGGAAAATGGGTAAAGATGACATACTTTGTAGCAGTCGTTTGCAATTAGCTGAAGAAGGCTAAAGGACTCTCCTGAAGTTTCCATCTTTAGGTAGAGTTCCCAGGCTAATCTTGGCTTCTTGTTCATAATATCTGCAATCAACAGAAAGTGAGAACTAGTAGAGGCATGTTGCTATACAATGTATAGAACTGGCTAAGCATACTAATCAGCAGTATTGTTCTTTATTTTAGCTGTTCAAATAAGCTGAGAAGTAACATAGCCGCACCTATTATGTCAACTGGAAAATAAAAAAAAAGTTAAAAAAATATATGACAATGTACAAGTTTTATATGACAATGTACGTGAACTCTAGATTATCATGGGTGTTTTCAGTCTGAGCAAACTGAGCATTTGAACATATCATACATGTGAGTTTTTACATGAAAATACAGTCAGTTGCCTTCCTGATTTACTATCAGTTCCTCCTTTCTGATCTACAAATACAGTATATCATACCTATGTTGGCATTGAACCCACTTAATATGTACACTTATTCTGAATATCATTGGTGGAAGTTTCAGTCATCCGAACCTAAATATTAAAGGGGCATGTAAAGAGACACCAATGTATAATGATAAAATACTTTAATTATGTATGGCAAGCTCAGCATAAAGCAGCTGTGTAACATCATATGCATGCAGTTTTCAGTATCCTCTAACGGTCCTGCTTATAGAGGTCTTTTAGGTGTTAGTATAGAGCAAAATGTAATAATATTTTATTTAGTTATTGGAAAGCTTAATAACTAGGGTACTGATAGCTATTTGCATAATAATACATAGGAAGATTGTTATAAAGTTACCTTATCTAGAGACTACAGCCACTGATGCCAATTTATAAAAATAGTTCTAAAACTAATTAACATGTACAAGCTAACAACACTGCACTTTTACAACAGCTTACACAAACTCAACATTTATTCTTATATGCTGACTGGCTGGAAAGAACACCAAGTTTTTCTCACAGCTCTAGCTTGCTAGCAACCTCACAGTGATGAAATCAAGATGCTAAAAAGGTGACAAAACATTATTTCACCATCCTTATTGTGTTTGCTAAGTCACTCAGTATTCCTATTTAAGGTGACTCATTCCCTGCTGGGGAGGGATATCCCACAGGAACATCTTTTGGGCTGTTGTGAGTTGTGAGGAATATTCATGCTATTTGGCAGATAAAGTCACTTGGATTCTCTTGGAGTTGGATAGGTCCAGAGGAGCTGTCTGAGGGAGCATGTTGTAGGGTTAGCTGGAATGAGCTTGTGGCTATGATTCATGAGGAAGTGGACAGGATCCTCCAGACTATGACTGCAGCCATCACTTTGTTAGATCTGGGGCGCTCCTAGTTGATAAAGGTCACCAGGGAGGTGACTTATGGTTGAGTCCATACAATGGTATCTACTTCTTTGAGGGAAAGGGTTGTTCCCCTGGCCTTGAGGAAGAGTGGTGTGCCCCCTCCTCAAGAAACTGTTGCTGGACCCAACAATCCTGGACAATTTGTGTCTAGTCTCCACTCTTCCCCTATAAGGTTGTTGAGAAGATGGTTGGGCTTCAGCTCCAGGGGATCTTGGAAGAGACAGATGATCTAGGACCATTTCAGTCAGGTTTTGGACCAAATTACAATAGGGAGACAGCACTGGTCATGCTCATCAATGACTTGTGGTGGAGCTGGGATGGGGATAATGTGTCCATCCTTGGGCTCCTTGATATCTCAGCAACTGCAAGGTTTGGGAGTGGTTCTCCTTTCTTTGTGGCCAGTCTCAATCAGTGGCAGCAAGGAGAGACCAAGTACATGGACCTTTACTTGTGGGGTAGCACAGGGCTCAATGCTCTCACCACTCTTGTTTAACATATACATAAAACTGCTAGGTGAAGTCATCTGTCAGTTTGGGCTCAAGTATCATCAATATGCTATGCATTTCAATCCTGTACCAAGCAAATGATACCATCAAAGTTCTGTCCTATTGTCAGAATGGGGAAGAACAGACTCAGGGTCAATCTTGACAAGACTGAATGGTTGCGAATATTTGCCCCCTCACCCTGGGTCGGGGGATCTTCTCTCTTTGGTCTTGGATGGAGTTGCACTTCCTCATTCAAAACTAGTGTGCAATTTGGGGCTTATTTTGGACTCACAGCTCCTGCACAAAGAGCAGGTGGCAGTTGTGGCCAAGAGAGCCTTTGCACAGGCACATCTAGTGTGCCAGTTGGGCCGTTTCCTGGACTGGGAGGCCTTCAGACAGTCTCACATCTTAGTCACCTGCCCTCTAGAATGATATTCCCTCAGAGTGAAATGGCTCCCACCTTGATGACATTCAGGAAGTATTGAAGACCTGGCTATTCTCCCAGGCTTTGGGGTGGGTTGATGGTTAAACTCCTCTTGAATGGATTTGTTGTTTTTCAGAATGCCTATGGTTTCTATGCTTATTTCACTTTTAAATTTTTTTTAAATTGTAAGCCACTAGTGTTGGGTCAGGTGGCCATTAAATTTGTATAAGTCAATAACTTCTGGAAAGGGCAGTTTTGTTTAGATATTCTGGCAAATACAATACATGAATTACAATATCTTTTATATGCCCTTCATTTTTATATGATAGGTGGAATATTTCAAAATTTATCTATTTATATCATTATTCAATTTATATAGCTGATTTCTATCTCACACATGTGACTCTAGGCAGCTTGCAATAAAATAGATAAAATATGTAATATAAAAAATAAAAACACATAGCAGCCAAGCTTCACAAGACAACCATCAACAAAGCCCAAAGGGTTCTGCGAAAGGTCAGCAGGATCAGGGCTAACCTACTCTCAGAGGGAATGATATTTCAAAGGGTGGGCACTACAGCAGAAAAGAATCTCCTTCTGAGCCCCACCAGACAACTCTCCTTAGCCAACGGCACCTGGAGCATGCCTCTCCTCTGGACTGAATAGGATGGGTAGAAATAATTGGGACAAGACAGTCCCATAAGTGTTTATTTCATTTATTTATATATTTATTAAATTTGTATGCCGGCCATCTCCCCCAATGGGTGACTCTGGGCAGCTCACAAGTAAAACAAAACCCCCAAACAATTAAAAAAATAAATACACATTAATTAATTAAAATTGAAATTAGTCCATTCCCAAGCCATGAAGGGCTTTAAAGGTGACTATTAGCACCTTGAACTGCACCTGGGAGCACACTGGGAGTCAATTCAGCTCGCAGAGCAGTGATGTCACATGCACTGAATAACTAATATCATTAACTGCCTGCACTGCTGCATTTTACATCAACTGAACCTTCTGAATACTCTCAAGGACAGTCCCATGTAGAGCACATTGCAATAGTCTAGTCTGGAAGCCATGAGGTCATGAGTGACTGTGACCAGGACCCCCCCCGGTCCAGGAACAGGTGCCACTGATACACAACTTGTGCAAAGACCCTCCTAGCCATAGCTGCCACCTGCTCCTCAAAGCAGGAGGTGCAAATTCAGGAAAACCCCCAGATTGCACACTGGTTCTGTCTAGGGCAGTGCCACTCCATCTAGAACCAAAGATGGAAGGTCCCTGGAACCAGAGGGTCCAAAATCCCAGAGCCACTCAGTCTTGAGTTGAGCCAAAGCCTGTTGTGCCCCATCCAGACCCCCACAACTTCCAGGCACCAAGACAGAACCTCCAAGACATTACTTAGATGACCTGGGGTGGAGATATAGAGCTGAGTATCATCAGTATACTGACGATATCTGACATCCACCCAACTGTTGGATGACTTCACCCAGCTGCTTCATGTAGATGTTAAATAGAAGGGGAGAAAGTACTGAGTCCTGTGGCACCCAACAAAGGAGGGGCTGCTGGCTGGACCTCTCCCCATCAATACCAACTGGAACCAACTCCAGAGGAAGCAGGAGAACCAGTACAACACTGTGCCACCACCCCTAACTCCCAGAGCTGGCCCAGAAGGATATTATCACTGATGGTATCAAAAGCTGCTGAGAGGTCAAGGAGCGCAAGAATGGATGCCCTACCCCCTTCCTGCTTCTGCCAGAGGTCATCCAAAAGTGTAATCAATACCATTTCAGTCCCATACCCAGACATGAACCCTGACCAAAAGGAGTCTAGATACTCTGCTTCCTGCAGTGTCCTCTGAAGCTGCAGTGTGACCTTCTCTGTAACCTTCCATTTTTAGACTGGGTGAAAATTGTTCAAGACGGTAGAGTCTAGTGATGACCTCTTGAGGAGCGGGCAAACCACTACCTCCTTAAGAAATGGCAGAACCACCCCTTTCCTCAAAGAGGAATTAACCACCACCAGAATCCAACCACATGTCCTTCCTGGGTGGTCTTGACCAACCAGGAGGAACATGGATCTAACACAGAGGTGGCCAAGCTAACAATTCCAACGACCCTGTCCACCTCCTTAGGCCCCACAGGATTGAACTCTCCCCAGATAACTGAGCCAGACCCAGGCCCGATAACCTCAATAGGACCTGCATTAAGGCTGGAGTCCAACTCAGAGTGGAACCAATCAACTTTAACCATCAGATGCCTAGCACATTCTTCACAGCAACCTTGAGTAGATGCCTAAATTAATTTCCTTTGATTCTCTTAACAGGAAGGGTAACATACAAATAACTTTCTTTTGTCAAAACTATAGTTGTTATTTCAGAAAAATATAAAAGATTTTGCATGCAGACTATGGGTGGTGGAAGAGCTTTATTAATGAATAAAAAGCCATATAATATCAGTTAACTTGGATTCTTAGTGAAACTTTTATGAATGTCTGCCTGAATCTAAGGAAATTGGAAGCAAGCGCTTTACTCTACTTTCTATAGTTTATGAACACCTCCACATGACCATGAATCATCTAAATCATGTATCTTCCCATTGAAAGTGGCTTACATCTTCTTGCATTCCTTACCTGATTGTTCAAAAGCATTTTGTCGACCAAACTTTCTTGCAGACTTTCTAGATTGTCATGATGGGCTGTTATTTCCTGTCCTTTTTACAGAGCCTAACAGATGAATCAGTCTAGTATCCCACCCTTGCAGGCAGTATTTTGAACCTCACAGTTAATTAAATCAACCCTTGCTCATTAAATTCAGGCAAGAATACAATTAACAAGAAACATGCTGGCTAAATTCAATGTTATATCATGTATTTACTTGATAATATTTATAATCTGTTCCAGTCCAAAAGAACTCTGGTTGCTAACAACAAAACACACAATTAACCAAAATAATATACAGTCAACATAATGACAAAAAGAATATCCTGGTCTTTGGACAAGGTAGTTGGGATGGATTTGGGATGCATTGATAGGTAATGAAGTCTTCAAACTGCTGTTCACAGATGTTATTAAAGCAGTGAGTCTTAAGACCAGATAATTAAATGTTTTGAAATTTTAAGTGCAATATAGTTGTTTCAACAGTATTTATCCTCAGAGGGAGAAAATTTTTTAAAAAAACTTTACTGCTTCTTGTTTTACTAACATTTTCTATAGATTATCTCAAAGCACTTGCCTATCTCCAAAGCAGAAATTCCAAGTACCTCTAACTTTCTTAAAAGCTTGGAAAATTACTTCTTACAAGACATTTGTAAGAAAAAAATACCAGCTCTAGCTTAAAAAGTAATTACATTTACATAATACTTAAATCCATTTAAAATAAATTTAAGGAAAGAGATTACCAGGTCAATACATGTTCTATAACAGAGCAAAGTGACTCACAGCAGCGAGCTAGCCAACTGAGGTAAACAAAATCATTCTTTATTTTCTCACTTTGAATCAAGAGGAACACCTGAGGGGAAACAGAAAGAAAACTAAGCTTCTGTTCACATTAAATGTAGCTCTGCAATACCTGCCTTCAATCAAATCAGTGTTTGCCAAATTGAAGATTCAGCAGCTATAAAAGTTTAAGACATGAAAATACAGTATATAGGGAAATTTACTTATAACAAGGATAATTCATTCAATAATAATGATTATTTATTCAACAAGCTGCCTTATCAAAAGACCCCAGGAGCTCTGGAGCACTGAAATACTAAAGCAGAGGTGTAAAAAAGGGGACTGTGGCCCTGATATAGCTCAGCATTATGCCTTTTGTTGCCATTTCTCTTTTGAATGGGGATAGTTAGATTGACAGATAGATAGCATTTTAGGAGGTCTGGGGGCAAAACATACCTCAGTCTTGTCCATTTTACCCTTAAAAGCCCTGGGAATGATTATAGAATGTTTTTATGAAACACTAGCTTAATATACAGATTGTTATTTAAAAAAAAACCACCACCACCACCAAACACTTAATCTTTAATCCTTACTTTGGCAAAGGACCACTGATGTTGAAGGAATTTTTCATTTTTCAAGCTTTATGGCACATATCTTTTTACCTAAAAATAGTGAACCTTTCTCCATACAGCATTTCCCTTGCCATTTTATTCAGAATATTTTGGAGTTTTCATCCAGGCATATATATATTTAAGGAATGATGGACAAATAGGTCATCTCTTATACTGTATGTTTCCATAAACAAACAAACAAAACTCTGAAGACAAAGCATTCTTCTGCAGTTATTAATTCACGCAGGGAGTTAAATTTGAGGAGAGAAATGGCAAACCATAGCATACTTTTTCTTCAGCAGCAGACAATTTACTTCCATTTCTCAATATATTACATGGATAAAATATCAGATTCTGCTATTACATTGCAATAAATATTTATGTGTTATGCTGCCAGTAATTATGGGAGATTTTGATTAGATTATACTGTATTAGCAATTAATTGATCTTCCATGTTCTCTTTTTGTTCTATAGATTTTTTTCTGGCTCCCCACACCTTGGAAGTGTGACCCCAAGACAATACTTTAAAGTTCAGTGCAGCTCTCAGACTTACAAGATTTGTGTTTTGCTGCTGTAGAATGATGTTACCTTCTGAGTAGTATTTGCAAAAGTTTTAGGCAGGTGTGAAAAAATGCTGTAAAGTAAGAATGCTTTCAAAAATATACACTGTAGTTGTTTATGTTTATCAATTTACAAAATGCAAAGTGAGCATACAGAAGAAAAATCTAAATCAAATCGATATTTGGTGTGACTATCCTTTGGCTTCAAACCAGCATCAATTCTTACACTTGCACACTTTGTACACTTGCACAAAGTCAGGGATCTTGTAGGATTAGAGTCAGGTGTATGATTAACCAATTATACCAAGCAGGTGCTAATGATTGCAAAATGCAAAGTGAGCAAACAGAAGAGAAATCTAAATCAAATCGATATTTGGTGTGACTATCCTTTGGCTTCAAACCAGCATCAATTCTTACACTTGCACACTTTGTACACTTGCACAAAGTCAGGGATCTTGTAGGATTAGAGTCAGGTGTATGATTAACCAATTATACCAAGCAGGTGCTAATGATCATCAATTTCATATGTAGGTTGAAACACAGTCATTAATTGAAACAGAAACAGCTGTGTAGGCGGCTTAAAACTGAGTGAGGAACAGCCAAACTCTGCTACTAAGGTGAGGCTGTAGAAGACAGTTTCATGTTACAGGTCATACACCACGGCAAGATTGAGCACAGCAACAAGACACAAGGTAGTTCTATTGCATCAATAAGGTCTCTCCCAGGCAAAAATTTTGAAGCAGACTGGGATTTCAAGATGTGCTGTTCAAGCTCTTTTGAAGAAGCACAAAGAAACGGGCAACGCCGAGGACCATAGACACAGTGGTTGGCCAAGGAAACTTAATGCAGATGAAAGACACATCATGCTTGCTTCCCTTCAACATTGGAAGATGTCCAGCAGTGCCATCAGCACAGAACTGGTGGAAACGAGTGGGACCCAGGTACACCCATCTTCTATCTGGAGAAGTCTGGCCAGAAGTGGTCTTCATGGAAGAATCGTGGCCAAAAAGCCATACCTCCAATGTGGAAACAAGGCTAAGCGACTCAATTATGCACGAAAACATAGGAACTGGGGTGCAGAAAAATGGCAGCAGGTGCTCTGGACTGGTGAGTCAAAATTTGAAATACTTGGCTGTAGCAGGAGGCAGTTTGTTTGCTGAAGGGCTGGAATGGTACACTAAGGAGTGTCCTCAAGCAACAGTGAAGCATGGTGGAGGTTCCTTGCAAGTTTGGGGCTGCATTTCTGCAAATGGACTTGGAGATTTGGTCAGGATCAATTGTGTCCTAAATGCTGAGAAATACAGGCAGATACTTATCCATCATGCTGTACCATCAGGGAGGCATGTGATTTGCCAAATTGATTCTGCAGCACAACAATGACCCCAAACATACAGCCAATGTCATTAAGAACTCTCTTCAGCATAAAGAACAAGGAGTCCTGGAAGTGATGATTTGGCCCCCACAGAGCCCTGAT